ATTTTCCAAATTTTCTGAAATGAGCATGTGGTTCTTCTGACATTAGGAATTCTAAGAGCCTACAATAAATGTTATTTTTCTCCTGAAAGTACATCTAACCATAACTACTAGGACATTGTGCATCGTTCTAGTATAGTAATGTGCAAAAATAATCTGGGTGTTGCACAATATTTTGCCAGGCATCTGTGGCGGGGCTGTAAAGTGTATCAGCTGGAACGGTGACCCTGGAAGCCCTTTGTTAAAAATGGCACTTCCTCTACACATGGCTCCCAGATGCACTTCATGTTTGGATCTATTTATTTATTGTGAAAAATGTTTCTGCTGCAGAAATTCAATTGTTATCCTAAGTTATAGAGAAGGTATTTTCCTCCCAGGGAGCCGAAAGCCTGTAGAGTCCTGAATCCTTCATTCAACTTACATTTCTAGTGTGAAAGATTATACTCTGGGCATTGTTCCGAGGGCGTAGGTACCAGTGGAACATATATAAGGTCCCTGCTTTTAGGAATCTGACATCCCAGAGGCAGTAGACAAGATTTCCTGGTTCGTAGACGGGCTACCTTCTCACTGTGTCCTCATGTAGTTGAAGGGGCAAGGGAGTTCTCTGGGGTCTCTTTTTTAAGGGCACTAATCCTATTCATGAAGGCTCTACTCTCATGACCTAATCACCACCCAAAGGCCCTACCTCCAAATACCGTCGCATTGGGGATTAGGTTTCAATATAAGGATTTGGGTATGGGAGGTGGGGGCACACAAATATTCAGTCTATAGCACACAGAATGCTGGATCCTTCCTCCAGAGTTTCTGATTCAGCAGGTCTAGAGTACAGCCCAGTAAACTGCATTTCTAACAAGTTCTCAGGTGCTGGAGCTGCTGCTGGTGCAGCCTCACACTTTGAGGATCACCACCTACCCTGTCCTTACCAATTCAATAAGGATATCAGAGCTTAGGCAAAGCTCGTTCATTCATTCATTCGTGTGCTCAGGGAACAGTTATCAAAAACCCACGGTGTGCAAGGCACTACCCTAGGTGCTACATAATCAGCGATAAAACAAACGTAATTCATGCCCCCTGGTCTTATACAGCAGTGATTTGCTCGAGGTTCCACAGCTGGGGGTGGAGCTAGCATGTGAATCTCTTCCTTCTCACTCAAAATCCAGTGCTCATTTCATTACACAGCAAGCAATATTAACAACACATTGGTTACTGTTAATTATGCCCTTCAATATCTACTACCTTCCGAGGAGGTGACCACAGAAGTGACACTCAGATCTTTTCTTTGTAGATGGGTTTGCATTTGCAGGTTTGGAGAAAGAAGCTTCAGTGGGGGCGAGGATGAGGGGGGCCCTTAGCATTGTGAAGAGGCGAGAGAAAAAGGGAGTCCTCCCTGCTGGAAGCTGTAGGAAGAGAGAAATGACTAAGAAGAGAAGAAATGACTAAGAAGATGTGGTAGACATGGTGATGTACTGCCCAGACCCCCCCCTAAGGATGCGGGATTCATTTCCCCAGCTGCTGGGAGTAGTGCGGGCTGGCACCCCACAGCTGGCAGCCCCCTGTGGGGACCACCTCTCCTAAAGAGAGCAGCTTCACTCAAGATCATACCTCCCTCCTGGGATGCCCATGTTCAATAATCCACAGAGAACTTAAACGCCCCGAAGGACCATCCCAGCTCCAGGACTCTTTGTGAGGTCAGCTGAGGCCTTTGATGTGGCTGTATCACAGCTCAACTTCTCCCTGAAAGTCTGACTTCCTTCCCCAACCTTCCCAAAGACTGGGGTCCCAGCGCCCTCCCTAATAAACATCCTGCATGCTAATCTCCATCTCTGAGTGGGCTTCTTAGGAACCCGGACCCGCAACAGGGGTTTCAAGGTGTCTGTGGGAGGGGTGAGTAATCTAAACCTTCTCCTCCTCCCTTTCAGAAACGTTGCTGAAATTGACATTGCTCATTCATGCTTTCTTGGAACAGTTGAATCACAACCCCCTCCACCTAATTCATGTCCACTAGGAACCCCAGAACAGGACATTAGTTGGAAATAGGGTCTTTGCAGATACAACTAGTTAAGGATCTCAAGATGAAATTATCCTGGATTTAGGGTGGGCTTAAATCCAGTACCCTATAAGAAGAGGAGATGCTCCCTGTTGGTCTACTCATGATTAGGATTTGGAGGTCTTGTAGAAGAGGAGAAACACACAGGGAAGATGGCCATGTGAACACGCAGGGAGTGCCTGGAGTGATGTGACCACAAGTCTAGCACCAGCAGAAGCTGGAAGAGCCCAGGAAGGATTCTCCCCTACAGACTTCAGAGGGGGCACCGCAGTGCTGACACCTTGGTTTGGGACTTCCAGCCTCCAGAGCCATGCAGGAATAAAATGCTATTGTTTAAGCCACCCAGTTGGTGGTACTTTGTTATGGCAGCCTTAGGAAACTTATAACAGTATCTTGTTTGGAAGAACTTAAAGGGGAAAATGAGAGGACAGCCGAGCATCACACCAATGGAGATGAAATGCCCGTTGCGGCTAATGGACCAGGCGTTCCAGAAATGCTTGTTGAGCTAAACGGACCTGAATGCTAATAAAGGGAAAAGCATAGTTTATTGAAAGTCATCTCAGAATAGCTGCTTGATTTATTTCCTTTAGACCTTGGACATGTGGGACTCTTCTAAATTGCATACTTACGGTACTTCATTCTACACATGGAAGTATGGAAGAAGCAGTATTCATTTTGGGGCAATTTTAGTACCTCCTTAAAAGTCAGTAATGAGGTCCCTGCACTGTGCCACTGTAATGCAAGTCCTGATCATTTAAACTAGATTTATAATTCTAAAATGCTCCTGGCCTTTTTTTTTCTTTTTTCCTTTTTTTGGGCTACTCCTTCGGGCCCTTTGGGAGCCCCCAAGTTCTATTTTTAGGTGTCTAGGTAGATGGATAATATGTGATTTACAAAGACTATTTCAAAGCTCAGCTTAGCATCACATGTGAGTGTCCTTGATAGTTCTTGTCTTGTCTCTCTGTAGCTGACAAATCACCACCACAGGTCTCTACTTGCCCTATGCATAAAGTGGAGTTCACGCTGCCTTTTCACGAGTTAGTAAGAGAATAATGTGAATTATTTGATTGGCTCTCACAAGCTCAAGTACTCCTCGGATCACGTTTGGAGGTCCAAAGTCACTTCTGAATGCTGCAGGTTAAGCCCTTGGGTCAACGCTGTACAGAGGAGAATGGTGTTTATCAATGATCAGAGACATAAGAAAATGAGTTTCTGAGCTTTATGTGGGTTTAAGAGCCCAGAATGAGCCCCAAGACACTTGCTCTGTTTGATTCTGCCTCTTTCTTCCAATTTGGAGATGCCAGCCATGAAAATAATTTCAATGACTAGCTAAATCAAAGTGAAAATTTCCAATCAGCAAATGCATTGAGTTCTTGCTTGTACAGGGCTCTCTGATAGGTTCTGCTGGAGGAGGCAGACAACATATGGTTTCTATAACTGAGGGGCTTGAAGAGGACCTGGGAACACCCCTTACAGTGCTAAGAGAGCCTATAGAACTTGCTTGGGAGTTAAGCCTTCTTCAGTGGCATGTGGCCTGAGGTTCCCAATCTGGTATCCCCTCAAACAGGTTGTGCTTATAAGAGATGGCTGTCAGTGAGGATGCTTTTGATTGCAGACTAACTCCAGATGGCTTTAACAATGCAGAAAAAAATTTAAATCTATTCTCTCACATAACTGAAAGGCTATAGATAGGGCTCTCTTCAGGTATGGCTTGATCCAGTGGCTTGCAGAATGTCACCAAGCATCTGTTTACTTCCAGCCTCTCCATTCTAACTCCCAGAGTGTTGGCATCATCTTTAGGGTTCACCCCATTGTCTTATGGCTGCTTCAGATTTTGTTCTTTTTAGTATATCTCACACCTCCACACCATACCATCCAGGGCAAGAAAGAATATATCCTCTGCTATCTCTTACATGAGTTCTGGGATTCACTCTCGCTTGTTTGACCTGAATAGAGCCTTTTGCTGATTCCTGCACCAATTTCTATGGCCAGGAGATAAGAACAAGGGATCAGGAAGTTCTCAGGAGCCAAACATCTCTCAGCCTCCCGTTTCCAGATGATCTCTCATCTCTCTCTTCTGGGCATCTTTGCTTCTTCCTTTCTGCACCTCAGCCTTCTCTATTTTTCTCTGCATGGGATGGAAAATGTCCTTGAGTTTATGTGGTCTCATTCGCGGGATAGTAGAGCTCAATGGATTCTCTTGTCCTGATTTCAAGTCCCTGGAGGAGCAATCTGTTGGGGCTTAGTAGGGTCAATTTTGACTCCTTGTCCTGAGTATGGTCAAGGAGTTGCAATCACATTGTCCGGACATGAAAAAAGGGGGCCACTGCTGGAGTTGGGAATGGGGACAAGATAGGTCTCAGGGACTTGGTGCCAGCCCCTAATAACCAGTGAAAAGTAAATGTGTGCCCTCTTATGCCAAAATCTGGGGAAGGTCTTCCATTCAGTAGACCTGAGACATGTATTAGTTAAGATTCTCTGGTTGCAAGTGACAGAAATCAACTCTGGTCAACTCAAGCCAAATATATATACATATATGTAGGTATATATGTATCCATGTACACACTCACACACACATATATATATATATATATATATATATATATATATCTGGAATCCCAATAGAGTGTCTAACTGGGGTGGCCTGGGTCACTGATGTGCTCGGTCATTATAATAATGGTTCTAAACAAATCACACTTTCCTCTGCCCACCCCTCTTGTAGCATGACATGGCTGCTCCTCCCTTCATGGGGTGGACTCTATTTTTCCACCACCTTGAGTTGGAATTGGCCTTGCTTGTCTTGACCAATGGAATGTGGCAGGCTTGACCGCGTGTGAGCCCCAGAGCCTAGGCTTGAAGACACTTTGCAGCTTCTGCTTTTGCCCTCCTGGAGCCCTGAGACCGCCATGCCGCAGGGCTGGACACCTGGAGGATGAGAGAGGTCACAGGGAGGAAAACTGAGGCTGCTCTGGTGACAGTCAATGCCCACTGCCAGATTTTGAGTGAGACCATGTTGGATCTTCTAGCCCAGCCAACCTTCCAGTTGAATGCAGACATGCAGGTGAGCCCAGGTGAGACCAGTGACCTGCCCAAATGGCCAAACCACAGAATCATAAGAGATTATAAATTGCTATTGTTTTAAGCCTCTAAGTTTGGGGTTGTTTTTTGCTCAGTAGCAGCTGAAACCATGCCACCCCCTGGGTCTGGAGAGAAGGGATCTGGTAGGAAAAGCCTCCAGGAACGTCTTCTGGCTTCCGCATTATGGGGGCTGCATACTTAGATTTTTCTGCCTCACCAATTCCACACAGTCAGGGAGAAGCAGTTCTTTCAAATGCAAGCAAGGTGCTGTTTGGAAGAGGAAAAATATATATACCTGACAGTTCGAAAATAACAAATATACACTGTTTTGCTTTTTGCGCTTCTTGTAAACAGAGCTGTGTAAACAGTCTGAGTACCTATCACATGTTGTCTTAAACTCATCCTTTGGAAATAAATACCACCAGGACGGGCTGATCTGAATTAAATAGAGATTCCAGCCTGCACCATCTGCAGTCCTCCATTTCTTCTCTTGGCCCAATTTGAGAACAAACACATACACACGGAACCACAAGAGAACTACTGATTTAGAACAAATTAAATAAAGCAACATGTAGGATGTCAAGGCTGAGTGCTCCAAGACAGGACCCAGCACACCTACTCTGAGTGCGGAAGACAGGGCTGGCCACGTGCTCAACCGCTAACTACCCTCAGGTCAGAAGCAGGGTTGGCACGACTTCCATTTATCGAGTAAATTCTAACTCAATGATTCTCATCCAGGGATGATTTTGCACCACCAGGGGACATTTGACAATGTCTGGAGACATTTTTTGTTGTCACCAAGTAGGCAGAGTGGGTAGTGCTACTGGCATCTAGTAGGTTGATGCCCGGGAGGCTGCTTAACATCCTACAATACCCAGGTCACCCCCTACCCCACAACAAAGAATTATCTGGCTTAAAATATCAACAGTGCATGGCCGGGTGCGGTGGCTCACGCCTGTAATCCTAGCACTCTGGGAGGCCAAGGCGGGCGGATCGTTTGAGGTCAGAAGTTCGAGACCAGCCTGAGCAAGAGCGAGGCCCCATCTCTACTAAAAATAGAAATTATTTGGACAACTAAAAAAATATATAGAAAAAATTAGCTGGGCATGGTGGGTCATGCCTGTAATCCCAGGAGGGGACTGGGAGGCTGAGTACTCAGGAGGCTGAGGCAGGAGGATTGCTTGAGCCCAGGAGTTTGAGGTTGCTGTGAGCTAGGCTGATGCCACGGCACTCTAGCCCGGGCAACAGAGTGGGACTCTGTCTAAAAAACAAACAAACAAACAAAAAAAAACCCCAACAATGCTGAAGTTGAGAAACCCTGATTTAATAGAAATAGAATTGCCAGATAGAACAGAAGTCATAATCACATCTCTAGGCCTTGCAATAATTATAGATAACAACAAAGCCTCATTATGCAACATGGCATTGTGTGTAACACTCTACCATGCTCTAAAACCTTGCTGCCCACCAGCCATTCGGCTCCTAGGTGTTTACCCAACAGAATTGAAAACATACCTCCATACAAGGTTTGCATGCGAATGTTCATAGCAGCATTATTCATCATAGCCCAAATGTGGACACACCCCAAAATCTGTTTACTAGTGAATGGATAAACAAAATGTGGTCTATCCATACTACATAGCCATCAAAAGGCACAAAGTACTGATACACACTACAGCATGGATGAACCTCAAAAATATTATGTTCAGTGAAAGAAGCCAGATGCAAAAGATGCATGTCGTATGATTGCATTTATATGAAATGCCCAGAGAAAGCAAATTATAAAGACAGAAAAGAGAATAGTGGTTGCCTGGGGCTGGGGGTGGGAATGGGGATTAACCATAAATGGGCACAGGAGATCTTACTGAGATGGTAAGAATGTTCTAAAACTGGGTTATGGTGATGACTGCACAGCTCAATAAACTTATTAAAAGGGATTAAACTGTACACTTAGAATGGATCAATTCATCTCTTGATGCCTTAGTTGCATCACCTGTGAAATTGAGCTAATGCATAGCACCTAGTGAAAGGATTGTCGTAAGAAGTAAATGAAAGGCTGTGTGAAGTTAGCACAGTGCCTGGCCTATTAGAAGTGTTCTATATGCAATAGTAGCTATTATTTTCCAAGTATAAACACAAATGGCTGACCCTTCTTGACTCTAAGTTCAAGTGGCCTCAGCAATGCCATCCTTCTACGTATTGGTGGCAATAACCAGAATATATTCCTTGTGGGCCCTACTATTATATGGATTGGAGACATTATTTGCCCAAAGTTATGCCTGGAATGGGTTTGCTTCCGTACATTTAAGCGAACCTATAATTGAAAGAAATAAGAAGTTTCTCATGGAGGGCAATTTGGAGCTTATGGTCTGTAACAAAATACTCTTCTAAACAGACCCAATGAGTTTGGGCGACATTCTGGAACTTCATTCCCTCCTTTAAGCCCTAGAGTCTCTCTGCCATGTTCTTACTGACTATGGTTAAAAAAAAAATCTCTCTCAACTCTGTGTCCTTAGGTGTGGGTCACTTTTAAAAATATATTTTTGCTGATTACTTAAACAATGCATGCTCATTATTAAGAAATAAAACATGACCGAATTATGGGTGTTTTGTTTTTTTTTTTGAGATAGGGTCTCACTCTGTCTCCCAGGCTGGAATGCAGTGGCATGATCATAGCTCATCACAGACTCGAACTCCTGGGCTCGCTCAAGTGATCCTCCTGCCTCAGCCTCTCAAGGAGCTGGGACTACAGGTGCATGCCACTACATGCAGCTAATATTTAAACTTTTTTTTGTTTGTTTTTGTAGAGATGGATTCTTGCTATGTTGCCCGGGGTATAGCCTAAATGTGGCAAGTCTCCCAGGGAAGCTCCACCTCTCATCCGCCTACTTTGAGCCTACATTCGGCGCTTAATTGCAATCTGAGGAAACCAGGTCCCAGTCTGCTAGACATTTCTAAGGTATGTAGTGTTTGTTGAAGATTTTTTTTTTTTTTTTTTTGAGACAGGAGCTGCCTCTTGGGCTCGAAAGACCCAATTGTGTGCTCATCTTCTAGTTGTGCATTTGGTGAAATCATGTTGATAGATGGAAATTGGCTGTGGTTGGAGTTTTACACCACAGAAATTGGCAAACACTACAATTAGGTCTTATTTTTTTTTTTACCACCTGAGAGCTAGTTCTTAAATGTTTACCAACATACAACTGACCCACTCTGCAAGATACATATCAAAGCTTTTACGAAGCAAAGTAGGTCTGATCTGCAGAAAGTGGTGCCAGGGCCTGGGTTGGGGATAATTTTGATGCTAAGAAAATAAGATTTTCTCCATATTGAAGCATACGTAATGTAGATAGTGTAATACTCATTTCTTTCCCTTCCCACAGCATGCATTTTCCCCAAGACAACCACTGTTAAGTTTCATGTATATTTCCCTCATTTCTTCCCAAGAATATACTACCAGGTCTTTGTTATTTGTTTGAGATGACACTGTACATCTTGTTTATATCTTACTCTTTAAAAAATCTAACAAGGTATCTTGAACATTTTTCTCTGTACACATAAAGTCACTTTTTAAAAATCTGCCGGGCGCGTGGCTCACACCTGTAATCTAACACTCTGGGAGGCGAGGCGGCGGATTGCTCGAGGTCAGGAGTTCCAAACCAGCCTGAGCAAGAGCGAGACCCGTCTCTACTATAAATAGAAAGAAATTAATTGGCCAACTAATATATAGAGAAAAAAATATTAGCTGGGCATGGTGGCACATGCCTGTAGTCCCACCTACTTGGGAGGCTGAGGCAGTAGGATTGCTTGAGTCCAGGAGTTTGAGGTTGCTGTGAGCTAGGCTGACGCCATGGCACTCACTCTAGCTTGGGCCACAAAGTGAGACTCTGTCTCAAAAAAATAAATAAGTAAATAAAATTAAAAAAAAATAAATAAAAATGGATACATAGCATTCAGTTGTGTGGCTGTACTATAGTTAATTTAACCAAGTCCCTATTAATGGACATTTGGCTTTTTCATTTATTGTTATTATTATGTTAGGTAAAGTTTTTTTCTGTAGGGGAAATACACAGAGGAAGAATTGCTGGGACAAAGAGAAAAACATTTCTTATCTTCATAGACATTGCCAAATTGCCTTCCAAAAAGGCTGTGCTAATTTAGGTTTCCACCAACCATATATGATACACTTTTAAAAAATGATTTTCCAGGTAAGATTAAAGGTTCCAACTGTTGTTGGCAGCCATAGCTGGGACTTAGCAGTGATGACTTGACTGATTTCCACATGAGCCTTTTTCTCTTT